AAAAAAAAAAAAAAACAGGGTATCAACAACAGCTCATTTGGTTTTCTCTCAACCTCTTTAAATCACATAAAGAAAAAAATTCTCTGTATGTTTCCATATAAACTCAAATAATAAACAAATGAATTAAAATTATTATTGCTCTGAATTAAAGGGATCTCTTCTACTGACACTGACGTCTAACTTTGTTAGGAAATTAAATGAAACCTAGCTTCATTACTTACCCTTAAGCTTCTCTCACCATTAAAAAATGGTTTTAATTAGGGTGTATGCGTGGTATGTTTATGACAGTTGAACAGCAAAAAAAGGAGTACATATAATGTTGGCATCTCTAATCAACTTTCACTAAAACATATTTCAGTTTTACATTTTGGTTGAAAAGATCTAGCCGTGTTCTTAAATGAAAGCTACCAACCCTCCCTTGGATATTCACATATATCACATCTATACTGTGTATATGTATGTGTATGTGTGTGTGTGTGTGTGTGTGTGTGTGCGCGCACATGCACGTGTATACACATACACTGGTGGGTACAGACACAGATCTACTTTTTCCCCAGTGTTTTTTATTGAAAATTTATAAACTATAGAAAAGTTTATAAATAAAACACCTAGATCCACTAACTGTTAACATTTTGCCACATTTCCTTTATCTCTACACATACATACGCAAACATGCAAATTCTTTTTCTGAACTATTTGAAAGTAAGCTGTGGATATCATGACATTTCACCCCTAAATATTTTAGCATATAACTTCAAAGAACAAAGACTATGGTCTACATACACAATCTATCTTGGGGAAGAAAATAACCACTGCTAATTTATCTCTGCATTCCTCAGCTTATGAATTTCACACCCAATTATTTCATCTCTAGCCCTCAAAGGAATCCTGTTGAAGCATTTCACCTCAGTCCCTAAAATTTTCTTTTCTTTTCCAATCCTACTGAAATACAACTGACGTATGATATTGTGTAAGTTTAAATGTACAATAAGATTTAATACATGTACATATTGTAAAATGATTACCGCAATAAGGTTAGTTAACACACCCATCACCTCACATAATTCCTGTGTGTGTGTGTGTGTGTGTGTGTGTGTGTGTGTGTGTGGTAAGAGCATTTAGGATATACTCCTTTAGCAACTTTCAAGTATATAATATTGTTAACTATAGTCACCATGCTATACATTAGATCTCCAGAACTTACTCATCTTACAACCAAAGTTTGTACCCTTTGACCAATACCCTCCCATTTCCCCTATCTCCAAACCCACCCCCTGTCAACCACCAATCTACTCTGTTTCTAGGAGTTTGACTTTTTATTTATTTGTTTATTTAAAGTAAGCTCTATGCCCAATGTGGAGCTTGAACTCACGACTTTGAGATCAAGAGTCACATGTTCTACTGCCTAAGCCAATCAGGCTTCCCAGTTTTACTTTTTTAGATTCCACATATAAATAAGGTCATACAAGATTTGTCTTTGTCGACTTATTTTACTTAGCATAATGCCCTCAGGTTTGTTTATGTCCCAAATGCTCCAGTGGTTTAAGATGTACACTCTCTGGTCTTATAGGACTATTAAGCCTATAAACGGACCCCAATTTAAGAACTCCCAATCCAGATATTTTGTAAATCTCTTTGAGGTCCATAATTGTAGAATTCACTAGCTTTGTTACTAATGACCAGTGCCACAGAAAGGCAGACTGCTACTTCTGGTTCTATTACTTGGTAACAGACGTGAAAATAAACCACAGACAACACCAGTGGGATGCAGCCTTCTCTCTCCCCAGTTAATCTCAGTGGCTCCCAGCCAGTCAAGGAGGACTGCAGCCAATTTTTAAAATAACTACATGGATAGTACACATGGTAAATCTGTTAACTCTCTCAGAACCCAGGAAAATGAAAATGGTCACGATATATCACTCCCTTTGGCTATTACATACAGATTAAGACTAAAGTTTACATCAATACTTCATCAATACTTTCTACAGGCGGGACGCCGGGTGGCTCAGTGGGTTAAGTGCCTGGCTTCGGCCCAGGTCATGATCTCACAGTTCATGAATTCAAGCCTCCACATCGGGCTCTCTGCTGTCAGCACAGAGCCCACTTCGGATCCTCTCTCCCTCTCTCTCTCTTTCCCTCCCCCTTCCCTGTTCACGTGCTTTCTCTCTTTCTCTCTCAAAAATAATTTTAAAAAAGGGGGCACCTGGGTGGCTCAGTCAGTTAAATGTCTGACTCTTGATTTCAGCTCAGGTTATGATCTCACAGTTTGTAGATTCGAGCCCCATGTCGGGCTCCGCACCGGCAGCATGGAGCCTGCTTGGAATTCTCTCTCTCTCTCCTTCTCTCTCTGCCACTCCCCTGCTTGCTCACTATCTCTCAAAATAAATAAATAAACTTAAAAAAAAAAAAAAGAAAAGATTACACCTGATTTAAAAAAAAAAAAAAAAAAAAAAAAAAAAAAAAAAAAAAAACTTTCTACAGGCATTTACTACATGCCAAATTTTCCAAGTAAGATTGTTCTCTGTAGAGAAACAGAAACTACACTGGGAATCCAATTTTACCTCAGATAGGCATAACACAGTGAGTTAAAAGCTATACTCATGAAAGGAAGATTATTAAGGGTCCTCATTACTATAATTGTAGTTCAACTCTGCTCCAGAAAGTCTAAAGTTGCACAGGTGAATGGATATTAAGCTACAGAGATTAAACTGACCTTTCTGTATCTATTAGTGAAGCTGTCTTGTTGGTTTAGTTTGGCCATTGCAGAGCTGGCTTAACAGGCCAGAAGCTTCATTCCTATTTCTTAGTATTTTTAAACAGTTGGATCCTTAAGTACATGACCTTTGATTTTTTTGTAATAACAGAGACCAGAAGGCTACCAAAAAATTCCACCAGTTTTGTCTCACCCACTGACTACTTACCACAACTTTATTGAAGTCTTGGATTGCAAAATACAGGGCAATGGCAGTGAGTGCATCAGTTACCTGTCAAAAGAAAGAGAAACAATAGTATAAGAGTGAGGAAATGCTGCCAGGGCCTAGAGGTTTTGGATGGTGGTGGGCTATTTGGTAATGAATTTGTCCAGTCAGGCAGAACCTCAAGCCTCACTTTGACTACCCAAAGATAAAGCCTTTCAGGGAGATTTGACTGGAAAACCTTGAGGATAAGGACCCATCAAGGCTTATGTTAGCCTGGTGTACCACATCTGTTCTTTAATTGCAAGTTACTTAAGTTTTCTATAAAGTAGGAATAATACCCAATACTTTGCAGGCCTGATGTATGTCAAGTGCCCAGCACTAAATAAGTCCTCAATAAACAGCAGCCATTATAATTATTAAGGAAGACCTCAGTGGATCTCCTATTTGACCCAGATTTTCAACTCTACATTAGGCAAGTGTTTCAAATGACTATCTCTCAAAACAGCCCTGTCATCTCAACTTTGAAGGTTATTGCTCCTAAGAGTCTCATCAGGCCTATGTCCACTGCACGGAACCTTTTGGCAGAATGCTTAGGAACTTCAGGATGCCCTCTACACTGGCACTACAATTAAAGCCAATCATAGAATTTTGGCACTAGAAAGTTTGAGACTACATAGTCCAGAAACCAAATTTTAAAAGTATAAGGAATTAGAACTGGTCAGATGTCAGAGACTACTCCCCATACTTCCATAATATATCACAGTTCCTTGAATTCAATTAAGGATAGGTTTTTGCTTTCACACTCTGTGTGCTTTCACACTCTGAGCAACTCCTAAGTTCCTAAAAGATAAAAGACTATAAAGATAGATACGTGTTGATTTCATGTGGAAGGTTACTTACCATAAATACCAATTCAGCATAGTCAATCAGGAAATGAAAGAGGTATATTATTAATGGAGTCTGTAGGAGAAAAACAAACAAATTAACTTAAATCTTACTATTATCAGTTTCAAGAGTAGTAAAGGTATGAGGTAAACTTTAATTCTAAGGCATACAGAATAGCCAAGGGGAACTCCATAGTGGACCAAGATTGCTGAACTCATAAAATAAGCTGGGAAATGTTTTCCCTTCTTCTGTCTTCTGAGATGTTTTATATCTCATAGATCTCTCTTTTTTTTTCTGTTTTCTATCCTTTTCTCTCCAAGCTTTAGTCTAGATATTTTCTACAGACCTATCTTCCAGATCATGAGTCCTCTCTCTTTTTTTCTCAAAGATTTATTTATTTATTTTTTTGTTTATTTATTTTTGAGAGAGCAAGAGTAAGCATGCATGCATGGGGGAAGGGCAGAGAGAGAGGGAGACAGAGAATCCCAAGCAGGCCTCGAACTCATGAACAGTGAGATCATGACGTGAGCCGAAATCAAGAGTCGGACACCTAACCGACTGAGCCACCCAAATGTCCCAAGATTTTATTTATTTTTCAAGTAAACTCTACACCCAATGTGGGGCTGGAACACACAACCCTAAGATCAAGAGTCACATGCTTTACTGACTGAGCCAGTCAGGTGCCCCATGAGTCTTCTCTTTAGCTTTGTGTAATTGGCTGTTAACTGTGCCTATTACATTCTTAATTTGCTATTATGTTTTCCAGTTCTAGAATTTCCATTTGATTCATTATTATATATTCCAGTTCCCTGGAGAAATTCTCTGCCTCGTCACTTATTTTTTGTGCATATTAATCACTGACCACAGTTATCTTACAGTCTAAGTTTGACAGCTCCAATATCTGAATCACCTGTGAATCCGTAGTGTCTATTTTTTTTTCTCTTTTATTATGCTTGGTAACTTTTGGTTGAATGATGGACATTATAGATATGAAAAATTTTAGAGGTTCTGGACAAGGCTATTTTCTTCCAGAAAAGATTTCTTTAAATTTCTGGCAAGCAATTAGAATAGCATCACCTTAAACTAATTAGTTTAGCTAATTAAGCTAGATCTGTGTGTGTGTGTGTGTGTGTGTGTGTGTGTCTGTGTGTGTGTGTCTGTGTGAGAGAGTGAGAGAGAGAGAGAAAGAGTGCACAACTGGGAAAAAGGGGCAGAGGGAGGCTCCACTCTCAGCGTGGAACCCTATGCAGGGCTCAATCCCACAACCCTGGGATCATAGCCCAAGCCGAAAACAGGAGTCGGATGCTTAATGGATTGAGCCACCCAGGTGCCCCTTTGATTTATTTTTTTGTAATATCTATATGTCATTTACCCTTATTCCTTCCTTCAGTGTAGTCCTTCGGAGGACCCAATTGGAAGCGAAGATGTTTACCAGAGCCCTGCAACCTTGGTTGGCCATGCATTTGATTTTGTTATTTCTCCAGCACTGTGAGACTTCCAATAGCTCTACTTAGCTCCTTAGCCTCTTAACAGCCAATTTCTGTTCTCTTTCTCTAACCTCAGCCTATGCCACTTACAAATTGATAAATACATCAAAGAGAAAGCAGCTCAGACTGTCAGTCTCACATTTTGTATTTTCCTCTCTGGGATCTCAGCCCCTCAATAATCCTGGCTATCTTGATACTTTCCAATACCATCAAATAGATATTTTTTTTCTATTCATCCTCCTTTCCTAGTTTTTCTTGGCAGGAGGGTTGATCTGCTACTATAAGCCAGTTCACCAATCCGCCAGAACCAGAAAGATAGTGCATGACTTGGTTTTAGTGAGTTTTTGCTGGTGACTCAGGAGCACCTCTTTCCAACTCCCAATCACTTGCAAAAATATATCCTGTAATATTGCAAAGGTCACTAACATGCTTTTTAGCTAATGTAGTAGAAAGAACAAGGCTTTGGGGTCAAACTCAGGTTTAAATCCAGGTTCCACCTGTGTACTTTTCCCTTCCAAGCCTTAGTTTCCTTAGCTATAAAATAAGAATAGCCACCTATTTTCGGGGTGCCTGGGTGGCTCAGACGGTTAAGTGTCCAACTTTGGCTCAGGTCATGATCTTGCAGTTTGTGGGTTTGGGGCCCACGTCGGGCTCTGTGCTAACAGCTCAGAGCCTGGAGCCTGCTTTGGATTCTGTGTCTCTCTCGCTGCTCACACTCGGTCTCTCTTTCTCTCTCAAAAATAAACATAAAAAAAAAAAAAGAAGAAGAATAGTGACCTTTCACAGGTCTTGGGAGGAGTAAGTGGTAATGGGCACAAATGCTTACTTAGCACAGTGCCTAACATACAGTAAACCTCAATATGTTAGCTACCTGAGATCAACTTTTTACCTCCTTTTGAAAACAAGGGCATCAACTTTGCCTTCCAAAGTTCTAAAAGAACTAAATGTTTTACAACTATCTACTAATGGATTCTTTTTTGCATTTATCTTTGTCAGTAAGAAGTAGTAACTTGATATTTATATTACCAATAGCCTGCTTTCAAAGTGCTTTGATGCTTTAGATAGTTTAGAGTGGCACTAAGTAGGTCTCAGAAATGACAGAACAAATAGTTCTCAAAAAGCCTATCAGCAAATGGGCTGGTTTCCATAATGAACTAACATGTCCACGGTAGTTTAACTGTATATCATATTATTATAGAGAAGTATACACTGAATATAATTTGTCTTCATGCTACATTTCCATGTGAGTAACCATTCCCGGTCAGGGTAGGGTAAATTTTGAATGAACTCACAATTTTATGATCATTACTTGGCTAAACACAAAACAGAAACATTTGTTGAAGGTAGTCATAAAATCTAATGTGGTTGCCACAATTCTCTTTTTTCTCTCCTGTGCAGATTTTTCTTCTCCCCTTTAACATATTCTTACTTTTCCCTAAGAACTAGATGGTAAAATCAGCTGAAGATTAAAAAAAATTAAAGGCAAAGGAATGATGAACTTTCTCTTCCAAAGTACTCTTTTCACTTGGCTTGATATAATTTTTTTCTTTTTCTTTTATTTCGGAGAGAGAGAGAGCACAAGTGGGGGAGAAGGGCAGAGGGGCAGTGAGAGAGTGAGAGAGAGAGAGAGAGAGAGATTGAGAGAGAGAGAGAGAATCTTAAACAGGCTCCACACTCAGCACAGAGCCCAATGCAGGCTCAACCCCATGACCCTGGGATCATGACCTGAGCCAAAATCAAGTTGGATGCTCAACCGACTAAGCTACCCAGGCACCCTTAATTTTATTTCTTTATGCTTTATTATTTTTTTTTTAATTTTTTTTCAACGTTTTTTATTTATTTTGGGGACAGAGAGAGACAGAGCATGAACGGGGGAGGGTCAGAGAGAGAGGGAGACACAGAATCGGAAACAGGCTCCAGGCTCTGAGCCATCAGCCCAGAGCCCGACGCGGGGCTCGAACCCACGGATCGCGAGATCGTGACCTGGCTGAAGTCGGACGCTTAACCGACTGCGCCACCCAGGCGCCCCTATGCTTTATTATTTAAAGAAACTATATTGAAACACAGGTAGCTCTTGATTTAAGAACACTGAGCTTATAAGCAAATTAACCCATATTCAGGAAAGAGGAGCAAGGGACTCCGAGTTTGAGGTCATCCCCACTACGTTTGGGGGAAGCAACTGTTCAGTCCCCAAGAAGTTATCTTACACAAGTATAGAGAGTTAACATGGCTTCTAATAGCAGGAAATTACTATCTCATACCATTATCCCCTTTTACTTACACACACACACACACACACACACACCCCAGTAAGGAGTAAGAATATGTTCTAGACTCCCTCACTATAGCTAAGAACGCATTTTCCCAGAGAAACATTTTAAATAATGGTTAAATGGCTAGATACAGCTCTTCCATTCATTCATTTGACATATTCTTTCTGACAGGACTGTTTCACATCTTCCCCTGTCCTCAACCTCCAACTTCCCTCCCCACTCCTCACTGTCATCTGACAACTTCATTTCTTATTTCACTGAGAAAAGAAACAATTAAATGAGAACCACCTTATTTTCCCACTACCCACTGACCAACATCCTTTATCTATACCTATATTCTCTCTTATTAACAACAGATGAACTTACTTTCTTCTTACCTAAAGTCAAATTCTCCCCTTATGAACTGCATCTCATTCCTTCCTGCCTCCTCAAAGACAATGCTCATTCAATTATTCTCTTCCCTACATCACCAACTTCTCTATCCACAGGATTATTCCCATCAGCAACTATATACACAGATTCTCAATTTTTTGTTGCTATTTTATTATTTTATTTTAGTAAGTTTTGAGAGTTTTTACATGTTTGTTAAAACAGATTCTACACCCTATGTGGGGCTTGAACTCCCAACCCTGAGATTAAGAGTCACATGCTCTACTGACTGAGCCACATGTTTTTTTTTTTTCACTGAAGTATAGTTGACACACAGTGCTACATTAGTTTCAGGTGTACAACATGGTGATTCAACACGTTTATATATTATGTTATGCACCCCACAAGTGTGGCTATCATCTGTCACCATACAATGCTATTATGATACCTCTGACTACTTTCCCTATGCTGTCCCTTTTATTCCATAATTGAAAGCCTATATCACTCCTCTTCACCCATTTTGCCCATCTCCCCCACCTCACTCCACTCCACTCTGGCAACCATCAGTTTGTTCTCTATATTTATGGGTCTGTTTCTGCTTTTTGTTAGTTTATTCATTTGTTTCGGTTTTTTAGACTCCACATGTAAGTGAAATCATATGGTATTTGTCTTTGTCTGACTTATTTCACTTAGCACAATACCCTCTAGGTCCATCCGTGTTGCTGCAAATGCCAAGATCCCATTCTTTTTTATGGCTAAATAATATTCCAATGTGTGTGTGTGTGTGTGTGTGTGTGTGTGTGTGTGTGTGTGTGCACGCGCGCATGCATGCACGCGTGCTTCCACATCTTGGCCATTGTAAACAGTGCCACAATAAATATAGGGCAGATTCTCATATTTAAAACTTCATGAGATATCTGCCTTCAGCAGATATCTGCCATACCAT